AGCCTTCTACCCAGGCTAACCTCAGATTTTGCAAGGAATGTTTTATAAGATGGCTATTTTATGTGCACTTCTTGTAGGTGGCTGCAACACCAGACTACAGCAGCATAAGTGGCAGGCAGGCTGGGGTGCTCCTGGAAAGATTTATGGAAGCTCTCTGAATCACAGAGGTTTTCCAGAAGGGAAACACGAAGTGGGACTGGATTGTCCTGGACTTTGGAGAGGGATGCTCTGCATCCTCATAAATCAAATATTTCTGGTTCTTTTGGGACACATGGCAGCTGTAGTTTCACATTATTCCTTCTCGATTTCCAAATTTAGAAGCTGATATTTGTGCAGTTAAAGACAAATATTCATGTGCTTTAACTATTATCACAGGTAGGTTCTTTACAGAAGTCTTCCTTTGAATGCACAGCAGTGTCTTCTGACGTACATAGATGTACCTGACATACAGCACCAACACCAGGAGATGCCATTTCTTGGACAGACAGGCTCACAGTGTAGGCTGACAATGTGTATAATTCAGACTGTCCCATCAGCCTGCACAAAGCAGCTTTTTCTACTGTACTTTTTCTCCTTCCATTCTAGTAGGATGGTCATTGTTTAAAAGATTTCAAGGCTCTGGGGCTTTTTGCATCTCACCCTAATCCTTATTATTTGGCTTTCAGTATGCTAGTATTTTTTAAAGCTACTAAATTTGTCCAAAAGCAGCTTTTCACTGCTTTATGTTAACAATTACCATTAGTCACTGAAGCACGAAATTATCATGCATTGTACTTTTTAAAATGCCCAACTAATTTTTGAACCTTTTTTTCCCCAGAATATTCATTGTCTTGCTAACAATCCCATAATGGAGGAAGACAAACAACAGTTTAGGAACTACAGTCACTTTTGTCTCCTCCTGTGAATTCTCTATTTTTCTATACGCAATATAGAGAAAAAAAGAAGCTAATTGGTGTTGCAATATATTGATGGAACACACCTCTTGCTCTCAACTTGCAATCCCTTCCCCTAACACTCTGCAATTCAGAAAGTTACCAGAATTTTACTCCAAATAGCATGAGTGAATACTTGGCTAAAACAATCATATAAACATATCTTCTAAATGGTCTCCCCTTTATCCAAAAAAAGATGAATGAAAAGGAACAGTGGCCAATCAAAAGATGAATGAAAAGGAACAGTGGCCAATCTTGGAGCCTTGCATAGGCACAGCATGTACCGTCCTGCTGAACATAGCTTTTCTCTAGATACTCATTGAAGGTTCTTTGTGGATGCTCTGTGAAGTTTGGGATCTGCTAGAATACACTGGTACTAGCAAATATAGTGGTACCTCCCTCAGTATCTGCTCCTAAGGAGTTTTAATGTAACCTGCTGCTCATCCTGATAGATCGCTCTGCAATATTGCCATGCCCCTAACACTGAACTATAACTCAATAATAATCTGAGGGATATCTTCTATAAAGCAAATGTTCCCTTTTTCAAATATTTCTGGTTCTGTAACAATCTGAGAAATGCCGAATGCCTTTCAGTATCTCCTTTCAAACGAGGAAGAAAGGGGTACCCTAATTGTATTTGTTCAGTCATAGAATCGTAGAATATGATTCTGTAATTCAGTCCCATGACTCCAGACATTTTGTTTAATATTGAAGAACACTTTCACCAGAGAGGCATGAGGATTAGAAGGCAAAAAGATCCAGATACTTTCAGTGCAAAAATCTCAAGCACTGATCTCATCTCTGGAATACAACTCAGTAATTTAGCAAACACTGCCAGTTGCTGCGCGCATCAGCAATCTTCCTTGACTTGAAAGATGTGGAGACAAGGCTGACGTGACATAACATTAAGATAATCAGCTTCTAGAAACACAAATAAATGTGCATACATGAAAGTATGTAACTCGAGCTGAATGTTGTTAGTACATCTCATGAGAGCCGATTAAAGCAGCCATTACAATAAAGCAACATTTAGTGAAAGAGGTGAAATAACGTAATGATCACACTCAATGCAGTTGATGTATATCAACTTGTGTTACAATGTGATGACATTCAAATGCTGAACAGTCAATACTTGACAGCAGTGGGATTTCTAGGCCTGCATGGGTATTGAATCACTTAATAATGCAGCACGCTAGTAAACTATTTTGAGATTTTTTTTCTAAAATCAGTAACAGAAAATACAAAAATGAACTCTAGTGAGCAGGCGAAAACGCTTTGTAATGGGACTATTAAAAGATTATATTCCATTTGATCCACATATACGCATAAACTGTTTCTGGAGGAGCACTCATTAATACAATCACATCAACCTAACAAATTTGCGTACGGATGGAAATTTCTCATACAAACTTAAACAGCAAATTAAACACGCACACGCACAGAGGCATGACCTTTCAATAAGCAACAAAAGCTGAGAATGACAGGATATTTTGAGCACACGCTAAATTCTCCAAACAGCAGAAATCTGCATTACCAGTAGTATTTTGTCTCGTTGGGAAATGCTGGTTTTACATCGACTGTGTTAGTAAATAATTGTAAAGCTCCTTCTACCTGTTCTCTGACAGATCCTGCTGTGCATTTTCTCTCCTGGATTACTGAGCCTGCAGAACACAGATCAAGGACACGGCTGATGATCCTTCTGTAATTAAAGCTCCCTAGTGCTGCCAACACGAGTTCTATACAAAGCACAAGGTAGAAAGTACCTTGCCCTTTTCTGAGCCCTTACAATCTCTTACGCAGGCAGCAATCACTAGCCACTAGAGAGAAAGAAAGAATATAATTTATTTTTACTTTGGGGAAGAAACTGGAAGATATTACTCAGTTTACTTCAAAACTAGTGATGTCTGCAAACAATCCTCCTTATATATTCGACACATTTCCCCAAAGGGATTCATCAACCATAACAGCAGATACTTATGTTCAGCCTAAAAGCTCACTAAAATCAAAATGGTAAGAGACAGAGAATTTTGCAGACATGTTTTAATAGAGACTGAAGAAAGTTGCCTCACCACTCTGCTGTTAAAGCTGGCCACGACAGATTTCAGAGAAGTCTGCATTTAAAAGATGAAGCTTGTGTTTGTTGGCATGGTAGCTGACTTGCATAGCTCATTTATAACAATCAATCAGTAGCAAAGCTGCTGAAAAATGAACAACCCTTGAATACGCATTATGTAGAATATTAATTTCAGTACTAACTGAGTACTTGGAGGCTCGCATGTAAAGAGACTAATGTATTATACATCTCACACTATTATGCTGTGAGAGGTTAGAGGACTTTGAAGCATTGCAAGACAGACACCATAAACTGCATATTGCATTACTGGGAGGGAGAATAAAGACTGAATTTACAAGACACACAAATTTAAGATTAACCCAGACAAATGTCAGGAGCGGAAAGTGGACACGTTACACTGTAAAGCCACTCTTTGAAAGCAACAAACTGTATCTGGATTATTTAAACTTTTAGCAAAAATGTCATAAAAGTATCTGCAATGGAATACTGCAGCCCACAGATTATCAACATGTACTGAAATCTCACAGATTACTTTACAGATAAAGGTAACTGAAGAGATGCACATACTGCTGGTTTAACCTATGAATATAGCTGCAAATAACTGCTCTCAGGCAAATCACACAAACCACCACCCAGCCCTTTTTTGGCATCCTCAGTTGTTGATGCATTTTCAAGACCTTCTGCAAGCTCCCACTCTCATTCAGCCCAAGATGAATTCTGTCACTGAACAAAGTCCAGCAGTTAAACAGAAAAAAAAGATGTCACTTCTTCATGTGTGTAAGTAGACAAAGCTTTGTGTGCAAGAATTCATCCCTGTTTTTTAGTAATCAGTGTTGTGCAGGTAATAGCATGCAAAGGTGACTACTATGAATTTTTAATGAACAAAGGAAGCAATGAGGAAAATTACAAGGATCTGTTCATGACATTAACTGCACACAGTTCAGATCTTTCTGGCAAGGCAATTGGAAATTTCTGTAGAAAAGGTAAGGAAAAAAGCTAAGTAAGTTCAGGTAAATGAAGACTGAAGATGTCACATATCAAAATTTCCTTTAGTTACAAGTATGAGTTTAATAGTAAGACTATATACGATTATCTTAAACCTACACCTGAGAGACCAGACCAAATAGCACAAGGTAAAGTTCTATTACTAACGGAATTATGAAAGAAACTAGAGGCCTCAAATACTTCAAGTTTTAAACTTAACAAATACCACCACAAAAAATATAACCAAGCAATACAGACTTTCAACTGTGTGTGATCCAAATAGAGCATATGCAACTGCTTGTGGAAATCCCTAGACAGAGACAAGGGGAACAAGCCAGGATGTCCTGTCGGCTTTGAAGCTGTTGCTCTAGAAGGATACAGATCTTGGGTGAATCTTACGTTACACCTACCAGTCCTGTGCAAATGTCGATGGGCATGGCAGACAATTTGAAACAGCATCAAATCCCTATGTGCTAACACCTGACTGTCACCTAAGGACTAACTTCTTAAAACACAACTAGATTAACCATTCCTACAAGTATCTGAACTAAAGGCCATTATTTGCAGGCAGTAAAAAGATGTGGTTATTACAGCTGTGAATATAGCAGGGCATGAACTGTTTGTAAAACTGTACAAACAGTAGCATATACTCCAAGTGAAGAATGACTTGATACCAAATCCTACATCGATGTTGTAACCAGCTGCATCTTCTTCTGCTGATGCTGGACTCCGTTCTTCAGTCAGTCTTTCTGGTATGCTGGTGCTGTAACAAATCCTGTTTTTCTTTCCTTCTGCTTTCCCTCCTACAAAGTGGTGAACCCTCAAGTAACTCAGATGCATATTTAATAGCAAGGTACAGATTTTTTTTTGAGGAAATGGAAGAAAGCAGTATTTCAGAACACTCCCTTCTCCACCTCAGAAACCAGCAACTTACTTAAAAACTAATTCTAGAGAAGTACACCACCAAAACCATGGCTGCCACTGAACTATTTTCTTCACAACACATCTAGTAAGATATATAATGCAGTGTATTTAAACACACTTCTCCTTCCATGGCTCATGGCAGTTAGCTTAATACAGGAAATTCCAGATACTTTTAAGGTTTGAAAACACTGAAAAGCACACATGGCAGCTGGCTGACCATTCAGGATCCACAAAGGATACAGTACTTACCTTTAGAGAACATACTTTATTTAATAGAAGGTTTTTGCTCCAATATACAAAATAAGGGACTGTAGTCCCAATTAACATTTACATAGTTACACAGCAAATAATTTCCACCATTTACAACAACTGATGACTTTCCCAGGCTCCCTCCTGTATTACAGCCAAGAAAAAAAAGCCCATAACGTTTTACATACCCATCAGTTATATTTTGCACTTTTCTGTCTTTTCAGTGTTTTAAGTTGCAGCTTCTGATACCAGTTTAATTAAGAATTTACAATCATTTCAACTGCACTAAAATAAAAATGAAATATATAATTTGGAATACTACCTCAAAGCCCCTATGCAAAATAAAAGTCAGTATCTTATAAAAATACACAGCAGGAGTAAAACCAGTGAAACAACAAAAATGTTTTCAATTTTTTTAGGGCATAAACTATTTAGCGACTAATCTCAGCTTTTTACTACACTAAAAAAAAACCCAACAAACCAAAATCCAAACAGAAAAAAAAGAAAAAAAAAAAAAAAAAAGACAAAACCCCAGATATTGAATTAGCAAAAAGTAATGTGACAGTTCTTCTACAATACTGTACCTTTAGTATGCAAAGGACTTCATCCTTCTAACATGCACCATTATCCAACTGATTCACCCCTTAACCTTTTTGCCACTGAAAGCTGAAAAAAGGACTTCAAATTACTTGAATCCCTTTAGAAAAATCCAGTCATATTTTCTGCATCTCACATAATATTTGAAGCTGTTCTTTACAATGCTGGTAGTTTAATCATGATACACAATTTTCTATAAAAGAATTCCAGCCAAACCAAGCTTTAGAAAGCTTTAGAAACTTTGCATTTAACAAAAGCGATTTCTTACAGTATGACAGTTGCTAAATAGCCCAATTTATTTAGTGACCCTGTTAAAGATTTGTTCAACTGAGTGAATAGGTGGTCATTTCCTGAGCTAAAAGATACAGGTAAGTAAATAGTCAGTTATAGCAGCAGATAGGAGACATTCTTTTTAAAAGTTGTAACAGTATCAATAAAATAACATTAGAAAATGACAATAATGTAAAAATCACTAGCTGAAGAGGGAGTGACAAGGACATCCAAGACCTGATTGCCATAATCTGGAATGCACATCCCATGACTTTCCAGAAATTACATTCAGCTACTGTCAGGCAACATCCTGGTAAGTGGAAGAATGTCAAATCACAGTAGTTCACAGATCAGGTGTTTTGTCAAAATTTAATTCTTAATGCTATTTCATAAACGTAAAGCAAGACAAACTGCCTAGTTTCAGAAATTTTGACTCTAAGGGATTTAAGAATTATTACTTTTAGAGGAATGTGGTATCTTCAGTCTCACGAAATTCCAAACTTATTTCTTCTTACTACTCAGACATCATTTATACTTGAGACCTTGAGTGGCTTTTGAGAGTCACCCATGACGCTAGGAAGAGAAAAAGATCCATTTTTAGGAACGGGAATAATATTCTTGAAATGGTTTATCTAAATCATTCTAATTTGTATGAACCATTAACAACCTATAACAAACTATAAAGACCAGTATACCACCACTGCACCATCATTTTCTTATGATATGCATTTTTGAAGGCTTCTAATAGTTTGATCACCTTTTTTTCACCCATTAATGGAAAGAGGATATTCTAATTTATTAAAGTACCTCACTTAGATACCAGTTCCTCCAGAAGGAAATCTCTCTTCTGTGTTATTCATTTTTTGACAGATATCATAAGCACTATTTTTAGAATTTATATTGGCTCTTGCTTAACATTTAAACATAATTAGTTTTAATTCAAATTAATATATAAAATTTCCAATACTTGTTAGAATAAAGGACAATACACAAGATCCTAAGTTACAATAATTTATAAATAAAAATAAACTATTACAAACCAAATCTTTCCCCATACGGAGATTAAAAGCCATAATCTTGACTGATTGTTCCCGGTCATACATTATAAATAACGTAAGCTTCTTCAGAGAAGCAAAACATACTTGCCTCCCTGACACCAGTTTAAATCTTCAGTTAAACGACTACCATCAAGAAGGCAATTGTGTTGGGCCCAGATATATCTTCTCGCTTACACGTTATCCCCTGAACCTCATTCTTTTAAACTTAAGCACGGGAATCTAAGTTCACAAAGAGTCCTTTACCTTTTACACACAAAGTCTGTATAAAATACAGATTTCTAATGCTCCTATTGCACCAACCTGGCAGTGCAGTTAGAACCTGATTCAAACTCCACTGAAGTCCATGAAAGGTTCTCCAGTGACCTTAATGGGTTTTGAATTAGGACCACAGATATAGTATTAACTAACAGAAAGCTCCTGCAAGAGTGGCTGGTATCTCTCTTTTTGCTTATGGGATGCAGTGGAGATGGGTAGTAAGCATGATACCTGAGCAAATAAAATTAAAATGATACAAAGGTCTCAATAATCCCAAACTCTTTGCTTAGTTGTGTGCAAACTGTGCCACTGCCCCTGGAGCTCCCTCCTTTCCTTTTTCTCAGTGCTTCCTCCATTCCAAGATAGAGATGTGAGACATGAAAATCTCTCTTCACTACAGTTTCCCCTCAATCCCGAGACTGATAGAAGAGGATGTAACCGGACTCGGAGTTCTTTGAGATGTCTGATGTCAACCCGTAGAATTCTTCAATAGCTTGTGCATCAATTTTCTGTGTGTAAAAAAAAAATAAAGTAAGAATATCTTGCATAGCATATACATGACATGAAGTTCCACCTAAAAACTACTATCAAAACAAAAATAACTCACATAATTACATAAAATAATAAAATCCAAATAATTCTTCAAGTTGTTATGCTTTGGTTTCCCATCTATCATCAACTGCAAAGAAGCCAGCAGCTATAGATATTTTTATATATGCATTTTTAAGTATTAAGTGAACCTACTGTAAGTGCAATCTTATGTGCACTGCTTGCTCAAATTTCACAAGAAAAAGTTATAAAGACAACAATATCCTATTAAGACATTTATCAATATGAAAAATGTAAGTAAAAACTATAATTTCTAACTCTGAGCAGCATGGGCCAATCCAGTGCAGAGGAGAATGAAGGCAGAATGATTGCTTGCGATCCTCTTAGCCTAGAAAGCCTCCTATAATCAAAATCTGGGGGAAAAGATGCAAAACTTCGGTTGAGAAGGTGAAGAGTATTGTCTGCTTTTCACAGTTAACATTTTCAGCTACAAAAGGAACCAAAACTGAAAGCATGCTCTCTTGCCACATTTTAAATCAAAGGCAATTAGGCTACTAACAGCCAAAAGACAGAAAGATAATTTTTCCTTCACTTAGGAAGATTTTATTTCAACTCATTCCCATTACTTGGAATAAGATTGTTTTAGATTTAAGACCAAAAAAATTATTTACTTTCTCTTTAGAAGGGCTAACAGGAAAAAATACATTGCTGCCAAGTTACTGCTTTGGCACTGGAAAAGATTGTCCCTGATGCTTGTGAAATGATGCGCCATTTACTACAGCTCTCTTTTTCCAGGAGAAAAGTGAAATTCTGACCCTATCAAGACATTTCACTTTACTGTCTACCTTGCTAAGACACAGGGGCAATCCTTTTACTTTCCCAACAGTTCTGTGTATTTCCATGTCTGACATTTCCTGCATGAAAAAACATCCATAATGTGGCTTGGAGAGAACTCTTCAATACTCGACTTGCCTGCCAATTAACAATGCAAGTCCAATACCTGTCTCACCCATTTTTCTTCTTTTCAATCACACAGATTTTTGCGCACTGTAAGGAAAATATAAACTATTCATTTTATAAATTGGATTAATTCAAATAAAGGCAGGAAAAGGACAGCAAAATCATACTTCATGCATAAGCAGAGACAAGGGGAACAAAAGGAAGACAACGGAACAAGCAAAAACCGTGAGATGATATAATACAGGCAAACCAGCAGTTCCTGCTCTTGCTCTGAATAAAGAATAAAATGTTCCAAGAAATTAGTTAAAAACCATTTTTGTTTTGTTTTGTTTTTTTTAAATGAGAGTAATTCCTGGAAGCACAGCTAATACTGGCAAAAATACCAACAGAAGCAAAAGGCTCATGTTTCAGTGATTAACTCGAAAATTTTAGGGTCAAATTTCAAAAATCTGAAGTTTTTACCTATTTTGAGTTTTGTTACACCTTCATCTGAAACAATTCAGGATACCTGGTAAAACAGACGACTATATTGATCTGTTGCATTAAATCATAAGCTCCTAGACAATATGAACAAATGGCTTGTTCCAATGAACTGCCCTTGGAAAAGAACTGCAGTAAAAGCAATTTATCTGCATAAAATCATAGAATAGTTAGGGTCGGAAAGGACCTTAAGGTCATCTAGTTCCAACCCCCCTGCCATGGGCAGGGACACCTCACACAACCATCTCACCCAAGGCTCTGTCCGACCCGGCCTTGAACACCGCCAGGGATGGAACATTCACAACCTCCCTGGGAAATCCATTCCAGTGCCTCACCACCCTCACAGGAAAAAAATTCTTCCTTATATCAATCTAAACTTCTCCTGTTTAAGTTTTAACCCATTACTCCTTGTCTTATCACTACAGTCGCTAATGAAGAGTCCGTCCCAGCATCCCTATAGGCCCCCTTCAGGGACTGGAAGGCTGCTATGAGGTCTCCACGCAGCCTTCTCTTCTCCAGGCTGAACAGCCCCAACTTCCTCAGCCTGTCTTCATACAGGAAGTGCTCCAGTCCCCTGATCATCCTCATGGCCCTTCTCTGGACTTGTTCCAACAGTTCCATGTCCTTTTTATGTTGAGGACACCAGAACTGCACACAATACTCCAGGTGAGGTCTCACGAGAGCAGAGTAGAGGGGCAGGATCACCTCCTTCGACCTGCTGGTCACACTCCTTTTGATGCAGCCCAGGATACGGTTGGCTTTCTGGGCTGCGAGCGCACACTGAAGCCGGCTCATGTTCATTTTCTCATCAACCAACACCCCCAAGTCCTTCTCCACAGGGCTGCTCTGAATCTCTTCTCTGCCCAACCTGTAGCTGTGCCTGGGATTGCTCCGACCCAGGTGTAGGACCTTGCACTTGGCATGGTTAAACTTCACAAGGCTGGCATCAGCCCACCTCACAGGGTGTCGAGGTCCCTCTGGATGGCATTCCTTCCCTCCAGGGTATCAACCGAACCACACAGCTTGGTGTCATCGGCAAACTTGCTGAGGGCGCACTCAATCCCACTGTCCATGTCAGCGACAAAGATGTTGAACAAGACCGGTCCCAACACCGATCCCTGAGGGACACCACTCGTTACTGGTTTCCAACTGGACATTGAGCCACTGACCACAACTCTTTGTGTGCGGCCATCCAGCCAGTTCTTTATCCACCGACTGGTCCATCCAGCAAATTGATGTCTCTCCAATTTAGAGACAAGGATGTTGTGTGGGACAGTGTCGAATGCTTTGCACAAGTCCAGGTAGATGACATCAACTGCTCTACCTGTGTCTATCGGTTCTGTAGCCCCATCATAGGAGGCCACCAAATTGGTCAGGCAGGATTTCCCCTTAGTAAAGCCATGCTGGCTGTCACCAAGCACCTCGTGGTTTTTCATGTATCTTTATTTGCCTTGTATCCTGGCCACAGGAATGTTTTGTCAAACAAAGGTGAAAGACAATGGCCATAAACAAGGAAGCATCTTCTAAGTATAAAAAACAAAATGCAATTCAAAGTATTCAAAGTATTGTACAGTCAAATTGCAAGGAACAGCTCTGCACTCAGCTAGTGCTTGTTTAGACTCGATTGAACCCTCCCCATTAGCATATCAGTCATTTCACTTTAATTAATCATGTACACGGGTGGGGGAGGGAGTGTGAGCACACGCTCTGGTCACTATTAGAAAAAAAGGCCACGGTTACACAAAGCTTACCTCAACAATATCATCATCAAAAAGCAACCAGAAATCATGACTCTTCACAATTGCAATGTAATGTCCTCTGTTAGGGCCACTGTGGAATAAAATTAGGAAAGAACACAGACAGTAACACATAAGTATGTAGGAATATATTTCACTACATTTTTTTCTTGGAGAAAAGTGATATTTAGCAGTAATTAAAATGGTTACCACTAAAATTTCTGCTTTTCCTTTTTTCCCCCTCCACTTACATCATCTTCATAATAAGGTCCTACTCATCTCTACATTTAATATTGTGTTAAAAGAAGGATTATACTTTCAAATGAGGAATAAACAGCACAGGCATTGAAAATATAAATGAAGAAACAGAGAAATGAAACTAAAAAACAAATCCCAACCTACACTTCTGATCTTCAGAAAGAAGCTGCAGAGCTGCTGTTGTTCATCTACAGTCTCTATCAGAAACCTTTCTATCTGACCCACTGTAAACAAAAACTGAATTAAACTGACAGTTTAGAAGTCCCAAGAATCCTCACAGCAACAAGAAGGGCTCACAATTAAACTAAAACTGTTATAATTCACAGCTTTTCAGCTTATGGCAGACAAGAAATTTCTTCACAATTATGACAGAAAAAAACCCAACTCTAATGGTGTCCTTTTTCTAATCAGGTTTCAAGTAAGGAAATAACACACTTTCCAAAATAGCTGAACCTTACAACTCAAAATGGAGGACTACTTAAAGCAGTTTTGGAACTGCCTCAACTGGCTAACAGCACTCAATACAAATTTTATGTCTAGATCAGGGAGGGAAGGTTGCCACCTGTGAGGGACATGTCTCTGTACCAAATTGCATAACTCAATGAAAACAAGGTTTGTATTGTGCCACGGCTCTAAGAATGCAGTCCCAAAACTGCAGATTGAATGAGGGAGAGAGAAATGGTCAGAATTTGACAGAATGGTCAGATATGGACAGATTTTCCCTATAATCCAAAACAAAAGCATTCACGAAAACTATGGCACAAAGGTTTATTTCCAAAACTGTCCTGGCCAACTTGAGTTGTAGTCATCTTAGGTCTACTGTAATCCTAGGTCTATCTAGGGAGGAGTGGAGGCGTGAGTGAGAACACTGATGGACTGGAGCAAACCGCCCAAAGAGGCAGTGAATCAGCAATCCCAGCCACAAGACTGAGCACAGTGCAACCTAATATCAAAGTTAGTCCCGCTTTGAGCTTCACAACATAAAATTATTCTGTGATTCTAGTTGTTAAACCATCACTTTCATCTTCGGGGCTTATATCTACTCAATAAGCAGTTTGTAGAGCAGCCCTTTTTAAGACTTGAAGCCACAAGAACATTTGTTGAACATAGCAAAATCAAATACAACTCTAACAGTCATATTCCAAAAGCAAGGAAACAAAAGCAATCAACAAAATTATTAATATATGGATATATTTCAGAAAATGCTGCTCAAGCCTTCAAAAGAAAACACCCTAAAGGAAAAGGTTTGTAAAGGAATCTGTTCCATAACACCTTCCTTCCTAAGAAACTTTTTTAAAGTGATCTTTTAATGGTATTACAGCAATACGATACTGCGAATTTTGTGGGGGGTTTTAAAAGTAGTTAAGTTCACACAAAGATCTGTGATGTGAAATACACCATTATCACTTTTTACTATCACAGCAACAAAGCTATATGCTGTCAGGATTGGTACCACCTACCCACAATGTTTTTTTTCCTAAGAAACTTTTCATTTAAGATGTCTTTAATGCTATTAGAGTTGTGTGGCAGTGGATGCTTTGTTCTGATTTTTAAACATACTTACACTACACAAAAATGCCTGCATAAAATAAGAGTTATTACCTTCCACAATGAACTACCACAGCAACAAGGTCATACATTCTGTCAGGATTGGTGGCATCTCCTGAGGTGTTAAACAAACGAAGCTCTAAAGGAAAAACTACTCTATAAGAGAGTTTTGTGTATCGATGCAGCTGATCCATGTATTTAAATCTCTTCAAATGGAGAGCTAGAATCATAGGCAGCTTTTTTACTTTCATCCTGAAAAATAAATCAAAAAACAAACCAAAATCCAACAGTATTTCCAATATCCATCCAAAACATTCAGTTGATATCAACAAACAGGAAACCTGTCTTACTGAAGTCTTAAAATAGTTCTGCAAGCATTAAAAGAAGCTCAACTATTCAGCTGTTTACAAGTATGTCCTGTGTTGCTAAAGGTGGATTTTAACAATTGAGAATTGCAAATGCATTTAGAACAATAAGCTATAACAGCCATGATGAACCCATATAGTAATTTAGACATAAAGACCATATAGCACAGAATTTCATTTTTAAATGTACCTACCTACAGCTTTTCTGAGTTCCCAAAGGCAAAACCTAGATCCCACTCAGCATACAGTGGAGGTATTGCAATAAAGTTGTTCCAGGTACCCTGTTTCAGGCCAATTACTCAGTAAACCAGCCGAGTCAAACATGCTTTTTAAAGTAAGCACTGTTACGCCACTTTGTTACATATATATTACTCCAAGTTTTCATATCAAGCCATTCATTTAGCATCCCCAAGGGTTATAAAAAGCACACTGTCACGCATCATACCTCCTTCTACCCAAACAAGATAATGCTGTGCTCTAGAATAGCAATTTGGTACAAATATTGCAGCATTATTTTATGCCAGTCAAAGCCAGATTACCTAGTTTTACTGAGAGCACATGGGCCCCTTTCCCTAGCTGGAGGTATTGAGATCTTGCACCAGTGCCTACAAATCCTCCTCAGCCAACCACAGCTGCCTGGTAGCAAACAGACTTCCACTCTCTGGGCAATGAATCTGCCCACACTAAAAGAGCGGCCAAGCTGGAGTGCTCTGCTTCTCAGCACAGCTGATTACCTTAGATCAACACTGTGATGAATTTCAGCCCTGAAAACTAGCTCAGCAACCTCAACAACACAGCCCAGATTTCAGACTTGTCTACTGAGACCGTATTTTCAGAGTATCAGGAATTATGTCTGTACATTTCTCAGAAGAGAGGGGCCTGGGGACAAACTCCTTGAAAATTCACCTTCCTTCCCTTTTTCTCATTAAACTCAGACTGACCCTAACCTGTAGGAAAACCCTGCTAGACTCAAATTTTCTCCATGGCCTGCAAATGAACTAGGAAATGGAAAAAGCAGGAAAAGGGCAGAAAGATGATAGAAGGAACTATTTTTCAGAAGGGTTACAATTTATTGTATTACTGAGATATAGATATAATTTCTGCTCTATTTCTTTTTTCAAAATTATGTCCTCTTCTTGTAATGTAGCTGTGAGAATAGCTCTCTCACTGGTGAAGGGATCCGGTACACCAGTTTTGCTAACTGAGTAGACACTATCACAGATAAGCTCCCTGTTAATAGGGACCAAAGAAAATCATGACTGTAGTGAAACTGAACTTAAGCCCCATATGAAGAGCACAAACGATAAAAGCTGTGTTTTGCCAATATGGCAGTGCCTACAGTACAGGTTTACATCAACACAGCTTATATTGGCCAGGAATCACATTACCTCCTCCCACACAGTAAAAGAGCGCAGACAACAGAAAAAACAACAGGACAGACCTGGCTTCACAACCCTCTAATACACACCAATTAGTAAGCTTAGGCAATGTGTGAAGGCAGCCTTTGCAGATGAGATATGCCAAAGCCATGTGCTGAATCTATGGTTAAACCAAATAACCAGAATCAGTGGTACAACCAGTAGAGCATGTCAGCGTTCCCACCCCTTCAACCAAATACCTTCCCAGATAATAAATACCAGACAGTACACAAAATCAGAGGTTTTTCAAAGGTGCAAGCAAGACTAAAAGGATTATTAGGCAGACAAGAACTGGTTTTAAATATAATGAATTTCAGGCTTCTACAGAGCTCCTGATGCTTTTCAAGAGCACTGTGAAGCAGAAGTTTAGCACAACTAACTGTGAACTTTCAAGAAACTGGAAACTCACTTAACAAAAAAAATTACAAGCCTCATTCTGATTGAATCAGAAAAAAAAGTTCTATCAAACTGATTCTTACAGCAATTGGAAACTAAGTTATTCTTAAGTGGAGGAAGAGTGAGAAAAACTAAGGGAAAAAGAACATTCTCCCCCTGCCTCATACACAGACACACAAGGAAATCAAGAGTATTTTCATGAAATGCACAGGTTATTTTTTGTCCTCCTGGAATCCAATGTACCTTTTATGTGCTTCTTGCTTACTGCGACATTCTTCACAGTAGTATTTGTATTCACTGCACAGAGTTTCTGTGTTGCTGAAACCCCTGAATGAAAAAAAAAAAAAAAGAAATGCTACGGATACGATTTTGTTTTCTGAAATATACATAAAAAGATGTACTATAATTTTATAGTATTAAGTCTACATAAGCTAGAATTGTGAGCTTTTAGTTTTACTTTCTGCTTTTTCGGTTAAAGATAAAAGACAAACTATGAAGATTCAGATTTTTGTGTCTACCTTAAACAGTGAGTGATTGAAGTACTCTGCTCCACATCAACTGAAAGGTCTAAGAAGTCTTCATCTTTGCTGCTTATCTGCATGAGAAAAGAACCAACAGATTATAGTTAAACCAAGTTATATGAATTTATCTCTGTTTCTCAGTACCATTTTCTATGGACAGAATGCCTCTCTTACTTTATAACAGCCTTTTAAAAACTGTTTTAAGTGGCCTTTCTATTTCAGAGATTTGCTAGATCTGTTTCTTATTTTTTTCAGAAAGATGGAAGTGTGCATGTGTCTGTGAGGGCACGTAATGCCAGCTGTCATTATGTTGTGACTGCAGCTCAACAATATTAATGCCAAGTTCCTTGTACACCTCACCCTTTTCAAAAGAACACAATCATCTTCCATTTAGCGCTTTCACCACTGTTCTTCTCCTGTGATTCCCTCCCACTGAGGGCTGTGTATTTGCATGTCATAGTGTCCTTAATAAACAGCACAAATACTTTGAAGCCTCTTCCTGGTTAGAGTCACACTATTAAATGAGCAGCAGATAGCAAATTAGTTAGTAAACGAGAGCCTGGGACTTAGATCTGATAGGGATAGAATAGTACAGAGCCATTTCTTACAAAAAGAAATTCCTAGAAGGAGAGAATATATTCCATTACCAATCCTGAAAAACAGTGACGGATGAAATCCACAGCTGCCCTGAAAACCAGCTATGTTATCAAAAGGTTTAGGAAACAGCAGTCTGCAGCCTTAACTTTTGTCTGCTAGTGTTTCCTCTCTAGAGATACTCAATGTCACTGTTGAAAATGTTCTCTCCCTTTTATTACTCCTAGGTACAAAAGTAAATGCTTTTAGAAAAGATGCCTGGCTGCAGTTTGTTGATTGAAAGCAGGAAAAGTTAAACAGCTACCAGAGAACTATTGTAAACTGACCTTCAAAACATATGAGATCTGTTCCCTTTCAACTCAGAATAAAAAGAGATTTGGGAATTTTTTCTTCATATATCTTATCAAGAGACAACAAACACACAGTTCCTAAGGACAACATATATGGGGGAAAAAAATGGATACAGATAGTCAACTATTTTTGAGAATTAATGCCACACAACAAATCAAAACCTTCTGAAATTAAGTTAAAGCTTTTGGAATTATCAAACTTAAATTCATAACACTAAGAACTCTGGTGGAAGTCATCTTAGCCTAGGGATTAAGAATGGCTCAGGAAAAAAACACATCAGTTCCAGAAAATACTCTGCTGCAGTCTTCAGTTAGGACAGCTGGAATTAAGGACTCGTGATCAGTGTTATTCAGACATGCAATTAGAGAATTCTTCCTCTCTTGGTCTAATAAAAAAAAAATTCCATGGAACGACAAAGATTTCACTGGCAGCTTTATCTCACACAGAAGCTGTAAGTGCAGGGAGGAGATGGAGAAGATGAAAGGGATGCCTTGTGCTTGGTTAAAGAGAGATCGGTGCTGAAACCAGAAGTTCACAAAAGGAATTTTTCCATTCTTACAGATAATGCAGCCTTAAAGAACCTCTCTCAGATTAGATGGTCCATTGTGCACTTAGGATCATGAAGAACCATTAAAGGCTGTATTGAAAGGACAAGTGGATTTTTTCCATCTATGTTGATAATTTAGAAATTGCTAGTCTTAAAAATAAAGAGGTTTTGAACATTAGTATTTGAACAGTACTTATTTTTTTTAGCATTAACTCAGTTTTAATTAAACAAAAAAGTCACCCTCCACTCTGAGCAGCCTGCTTGTCCCCCTGCTTCTGCAGAGGTTTTGTTTCAAATAAACACCACTAAGGTTCTTAGACTAAAGTCACCAATGCTATATATATATATATATATATATCTTTTAATTATATAGAGAATGAAGAAAAGATGGACATGTTCAGAAGACCTCATTACTTGCAGAATCAAGCCTTGATGTGTTCAAACAGCCATTTGAGCGCTCCTAACAGGAATATCTGAATAATTGTGAAGAATTTGGGTGCTCCAGTATCCTGGCTAAAGGGGATGGTATGTTCTCACATCAAGGACATAATTGCACTCAAACAGCTCAGCTGTAGTACTCTGACAACCAATGTCACGAAGAACAGAAAACTCAGAAGGCTACAATTCCTGGAATTTTTATCTCTTTCAGTCTGGAATTTCACTAGCAATGTGAATCAGCTTACTGACAAAAAAGGTTTTGCAACTGTAGGCTCCCCTGTGTGCAAAACCAGAAACTATTTTTAAATGAAGCTGAAACAAAAGACATGACTTATCTTGGTTTTATTGAAAAAAAAAAAAAAAAGAGAAAAAAGTAGGGCATAGTTAACATTTCTATAGTATCTATAGTACTCCCAGAAGAGAGACTACTGAGATTTGCCTTATTGCCTTCTCTCAGTCCAAAGTAGAATTGAGCCAGAACTTTATGCCCTATAGAGTCATTTGAACACAAGAGCAAGACCATCAGCTGTAGAAAAACATTATTGATACATTTGGTGCTTTTGACCCAACACAATTTCCTATTTTTCTCTGTAGAAGTATTACCCACATTTATCTGTTACGGATTTAACCTCAATGTGGTCAATTATATTATTTTTTGTTTACTGTTATGATTCCCTTAAACTGTGTAGATAAATCTGTAAAACCAAATAACTTCTGGATCATTTTTATCAATTAGCCACAAAAATTTGTACCATTCACTTCATCATACTACCTCTATCCAGGAAGGGAGAAATCATCATAACACAAAATCACATTAAAGGCGTGTACAGACAACTTGCAGTCCATGTTGTAACATTTACTTTACGGTGTGGCTTGACCCACGACACAAATCTTCGTTAAAGAATCATATCTATGTTCCTTGTATTCACTGTCCATACTTAAACTGAGGATAAATCTTTAATCAGTTAATTTTTTTATCACAAGGATGGGCTGAGACTGTGTGTCCTGGAAAGAAGCTCTTTTCTACAGTCAGGACTACTCAAATTAGAACAAAATCTTGCCATGGTGATTTTAGGAACACGGAGAAGGTTTGGCCAGTTAGAAGATACTCATTCTCACTTAGAGCAAAGATATATTATGCTTTGCATTTAAGTATGTGTTAAATTCCAAATTTAAAAAACCCTAAGGTTATTGTCTTATCATTAAAAAGCACAAATTCATCCACCGTTTCTGTGTAATCTTCCGCATGAGCTGCATTCAAGTACTCCTGACACTTAAATTATATGTCTTAACACAGAATGAGTCTAAATGCCAACAGCTTCCAATAAACATTAAAACAATATCACTATATTTGAAAGTAAGATAATATTCACAGCAACAGAACTTATTTAATGTGTCTAAATCTAAGTACTCATTTTCAGGTCACTGTGTTTTAATTAGAAACAAGCTGATACACTGAATAGACAGAAGCTGATAAAATAGTTTGTAGATAATTAGAAATCAAAATTACTATTATTGGAAGACAAAGGCCCTAATACACTAAAACCTCATGTGCATTACAACACTGAATTTAATATTCAACCGTCCAAGGAGGCACAGTGGCAAACAGACATGGTGTATCCTGTTCAGCAATAGCTAACAGAAAAATAGAATTGACTCATCTTAGTAAAACTCAAAATTATGATAGGCCTGGTAACTAATAAAGTATGCAAAGAGCATATCAGCATTAAAAACCTGTATTAAGGACTATTATCTAGATCAAAATCCTGACAGCAGTAACTTACGATGCCATAATAAGGAAAGGTAATGATGTCAGTCATGTTAACAGACTAAGCTAAATTCATGTTTCAAGAAGAAAAACAAAATCAGTTAAAAAACTAAAAGAGAAGCAATTGACAGTTTCCATGAGATAGTTATTAGAGAGGTGAAACCCACCAGGAAAGAAAATATGGTAGCCAGAAATCATCACCTGAATTAAGCAAAATACCATGATCTGCTAAGGTCTGTAGATACATTATATATGACATTAGGAAGCTATTTTCTTTGAAATAAAAGACAGGTGAGTATTTCTAGAAGATGGAGAAAATCCCATGTGAAACATACAGATTTAATTTGATTAATTCTTTCTTTCCAAGGTCATGCTGAAATACATTCATTACCTAACTTAAGCAAAACAGGTATGAAGTCATGCAAAATAACAGTAATTTAGGTTTTCTTTATATCTAACGAATAGATCATAACAGAATTACTGTGATTTTCAAGCTGTACTGCTTTTTCTCTTTCTCAAGCTGCTAAAATTCAATTATGATTTTTTTCTGAAATATATGCTTTTTCTTATTATAGATCTATTTCCAGAGAAAATTTTATATAGCTTGCTCAAATGAGTAGTTTATTTCTCAGGGTCTAATATCAGAATTCCTGTGAAAAGACATATAAAAAAGCATTATTTCTCCTGCACATTGTTATGTTCTTTGAGAATCCCAGTCTCAGTGCTAAAAGCCAACCACAGATTCTTGATTTCAATGGCTTTAAATTTAAAACCAGAAATTGGTGGAAGCTGAATCACAATACTTATTACCACTAAGCATGACATTAGGTCATCATGACATTAAATTTGAGAACTCCGCATCCCCAAGTAGCAGGCTTCATTGCTCTTAGGGATACATCAATTTAGCATTCTCTAAATTTTGAAATTCACAGAATCATAAAATCTTAGCTGGTTTGGGTTGGAAAGGACCTTAAAGACCACCTTGTTGCAACTCCCCTGCCATGGGCAGGGACACCTCCTCTAGACTAGGTTGCTCAAAGCCCAGTCCAACCTGGCCTTGAACACTGCCAGAGATGGAGCATCTACAGCCTCTCTGGACAACCTGCTTGTGTCTCACCACCCTCATGGTAAAGAATTTCTTCCTAATACCTAATCTAAATCTCCCATCTTTCATTTTAAAACCATTCCCCCTTGTGCTGTCACTGTAAAAAGTCTCACTCCAGATTTCTCGGAGGCCCCCTTTAAGTATTGAAAGGCTAAAGATGATCTCTGATCTCTGATCATCTTCATGGCCTCCTCTGGACTCGCTCAAGCAGGTCTATGGCCCTCTTGAGTTGGGGTCCCAGAGCTGAAGGCAGTACTGCAGGTGGGGTCTCACAAGAGTAGAGTAGAGGGGAAGCCGACTATGATCACACTGACAAAAATTCATGTAAGCATTTTCCTAATATCAACATAACCCTTTTCCTACAATTCACAGATGAGTTGCTGAAATTTTCTCAGTAACAAAGAAAAAATGCAAATGTTCATATGAACATAAGATTTCTAAAGAAAAAAACTAGGACGTTAGTCTGTTGAGATAAATGAATAAGGAAACATGAAGTTCTGAAACAAAGAAGAATTCATTTTATGAATTACATACAGACTTACAGTTTCACACGTAAGACATCTGGTTTCATTAGTTAATGTTCCCTGAAAGATTTCATGAACCCAGGTTGGGTCTGGCGGGCTGTTATTTTCATTGTCGATGTTGCCATTAGGTAGGCGACCATTTTGTTTCTCTTGTTTTCTTTCCTCTTGCAAGATATCCGCAATTGTATTTAATAGATAGTTTAAGAACTCATGTGCATCCTGCTGCATGTAGTTATCAAAAAGCTCTACAACATAAAATGACAGAAGAGTTTTTATTTGATTGGTTAGTGCCACACTACAAAAATATTTTTAAGAGAAGTCAAATTTCAAAACCAGTCTTTATTTCTTGAATTGTTCATGATAATACAACACCAATACAAAATGCATACTTCATAAACTAAGCCAAAAACATAGGGGATGGGAAGAGGGGAGGGCATGTCAGCTTACATTCCCAGAAATCTCTCACCTGATGGGAATTAACAGAGGAGTGAGCCATTCTGCAAGCAAACTAGGGCATGATTCAGCTACTTAAACACAGGTGTACATACAGTGCCATCTGAAATTTTATAGCGCCTCCCATGCAGCCTCCACATGCCAGTCCATGATGATTTCACTCTCCTATAGGGGCTATGATATCTCTGCCAAGCTTAGGTCGATGTCTTGGATAACATAGGGCATATCAAATGGCATTAGACACTGACACTTTCCATAAATTAACTGAGAACTTATGACAGGAAATGTTTCCTCATCTACATGAAGCTTCAATGTCTGTATGAGAGGCATAAGGCTCTCAACAGACAGATATGAGCAACCTCACCTTCAAAAGCCCTGGCCCTCATGGGGGTCTTCAATCACCCCCAATCCCTGCTGGAGGGATAACACAGCGGGGCATAAGCAATCCAGAACATTCCTGGAGTGAGTTGAGGACAACTTCCTTCTTCAAGTGACAGAGGAGCCAATGAGGTGCTATGCTGGACCTTGTTCTCACCAACTAGGAGAGGCTGCGGGGAACATGAAGCTCAGGGGCAGCTTTGCCTGCAGTGACCAAGAAATGGTGGAGTTCAACATCCTTAGGGTGGTGAGAAAGGTGCACAGCAAGATCATTACCCTGGACTTCAGGAGAGCAGACTCTGGCCTCTTCAGGGTCTACTTGGTAGAGTACCATGTGATAAAGCCTTGGAGGGAAGAACAGCCCAAGAAAGCTGGTTAATATTCAAGGATCCCCTCCTCCAAGCTCAGAAGCAATGCATCCCGACAAAAAGGAAGTCCAAAACCACCAGGAGGCCTGCATGGATGAAAAAGGAGCTCCTGGAGAAACTCCAGCACTAAGAGGAAACCTACAGAGGCTGGAAGCAAGGACAGCTAGCCTGGGAGGAACACACAGAAATTGTCTGAGCAACCAGGGATCAGGTTAGAAAAGCCAAAGCCCTGACAGAAATAAACCTGACCAGGGACACCAAGGGCAACAAGAGAAGCTTCTACAGGTATGCTGATGATAAAAGGAAGAATGGGGAAAATGTGGGCCCTCTCAGTAAGGAAACAGGAAACCTGTTACCCAGGATATGGGGAAGACTAAGCTACTTAGTGACTTTCTTGCCTTGGTCTTCACCAGCAAGTGCTCCAGCCACACCGCCCAAGTAGCAGAAGGTAAACATAGGGACTGGGAGATTTAAGAACCACTCACAGCAAGTCAGATTCAAGAACATGTAAGGAACCAGAAGGTGAAGGTAATGAGGCACTGGAACAGGTTTTCCGGAGAAGTTGTGAATGCCCCACCCCTGGAAGTGTTCAAGGCCAGATGGGGCTTTCAGCAACCTGGTCTAGTGTAAGGTTTCCCTGCCCGTGGCAGCAGGGCTGGAACTAGACGATCCTTAAGGTCCCTTCCAACCCAAACCAGTATAAGATCCTATGATATGTGCTATCACAGGAAGAACATGAAAAATAAATGCTCAAAATGTTGCTTTATTTATTTTCACTTTCAGGGTTTTAAGCCTACTGCTCTGTCATAAGCACAGTGTCATAAATACTAGCAATGAAAGTAAGAGTAAGACTAAAAATGTAGAGATACTGCTACTTTTAAACAAGTATTTTCTTTCTCGAAGCCTTTTAAGTAAGGTAGTACTTGCAGAAGCCAAATTAGCTTAAAGTTCCAGCCCCAGCAAACAGTTTTCAAATAAGGACTTCTAGAAATACATAGATTTGCCTTTCAAGATGTTAAGTATTGCTTCTAGATATTGGTATATGTGACACCTTTATTACTGATGGACCTGCTGGATAGATAATAATGTATTCACCATGCTTTATGTTTCATGTCCTCACTCTGTCAGCATTTCTAAAGATAATAATTTTAGGATTAATTCAGTGGAAGGGGAATAGTTTCACATACTTGCAATGTATAGCAATGATACAGATTAAAGCATAAAGTTGAACTATTTCTCACAAGTCTTCTCTCTGGCTTATGTTCAAATTGGTACACTGTTTATTGCAGTCCCCTGGGATATCAACCTGAGAAATTCCATGCTGCTACAAATCCTCACATAAGGAACGGGGCTAAGAAAACCATAAAGGCATTGAACCAGATTTAGTAACAGTTACTACTTCTCTCTGACCAGGAATTGTTACAAGGAAATTCACTTGCCAATTTAAAAAGCATTCTATATCACTAGCTAATATCATGTAAGTCTTTCACTGTGCAATTACTTCAGCTAATTATAACATGCAATTTGCTTACAGTCCAAGAGTATACTATGAAACTGGCCTTCGGTGGAGGGATAATTCCCAAGACTGGAAAGATGAAAAGATACTCAGTGAAGCTGAAGTTTTAACGTGCACACAGGAATTACCTGGAAGCTTTATTATCAATCACTTGATGGCATCCAGGAGTAAACTTCAAAAAGAAAAAAATCCCTATTTATGAACAAAGTAGAGAGAACTTGATGCTAATCTAGATAATCTGGAGAGGTTAAGTAGTGGGAAAGGCCAGCCAAGAGTGCAAATCAAGAAGTTTATTTAATTAACTAATACACTACTCTTGAGAGTACGAATAAGTTTCACTCTGAATCTATCCAACTGTAAGGTCTTTATTTAATCAAGTAAATCAAGGCAGAACAAGAGCTACAAGTCTCTCGAGGTTAAACACTTCAGAGGTTCTTCACAGCACTGCGTCACAGATCTCTCAGGTCTATGTGCCCAGTCAGTAAATTAGCAGTAAGCACAACAGAATGAAAGGTACACACTGTTCACTTTACGATTAAAGAAATTTAAGCAAACGTTACAGTATACCTTCAGCTGACTTCAACCCAGCAGCTGCTTCCAGCCAGTTAAGCTTTAAGGTCATTAATACATGTATGCTGTATTCAGACATTGAAAATAAAAATGGAACAGCAGCACTGTAATCTGGAATACATTATGCTCTCAGTCATCACCCTGGTATAGCCAGGTAACAACTGAAACAGAACCTACAACCGGTGTTGCATTCCTGATTCATTAATTATCTCTTCTTTAAAGCTCAAAATTATATACCTTTACAATAATCACTTCATAGCATATATGATGTCCATGTAAATCACTGCCTGACAGTTTACCCATTTATCTGTAGAAAAGTTGAGAGTATTATCATTAAAAGAAAACCAAAAAGCCAACAAGAGCTGAACTTTCTCATCTGATTTCTCTAAGAGTTTCCAGTTGCCTTCTCCCACTTAGAATGATGTAATTAAGCATAAAAAAGAGCAGTTTTTGGAAAGAACTTAATGACTCCCGTGGCTGACTTTCTGCATTCCATTTGAACCATTCTCCACGTCTGCTGTATTTAGTCAACATTTGTTGATACAATGAACTATTTCTGTAAATGCATCAACATGCAGGCATATTTCTCAAGTATACTTACCAAAGAACTGAATGACAGTTTCTATTCTCCATAGGAAAGAGACTGTACATTATCTGAGAGCCTTTTTTAAACAATATTATTACAACTTATGGTGTGCATTTACTGGAGGGGTTACTTCGAATTAGGAACGTCATCACAATATTTTATTTCTTGTTTTTACTACAGAGGTGGTCATCATAGCATTTAAATACTTTTTTGTTCTGCATAAATAGTCTTGCAGAGATTACAACAGGATGAACATACAGGTGTGTTAAATATGGTATCTTATGCAGTTTATTCAAACCCAGTATTTCTTTTCTGGAAAGGTTTTATGTTATATCTTTATATAACTGTATGCAAATTGAGTACTAGATTACAAGGCTTCATTTATATTTTAACACTGATTTTCTAAAACATTCTGACCAATTAGCCCTGCAGATAAGAAACCAGAAATGTTTAAAATATCTGGAAATCTCTGGTGGTTCAGGATATTAATTACACTTAAAAAAATAAGACAAAACTACTCTGTGATTTTAAAATTCATTAATCCTTCAAAAAGTAGCTCAAGCTATGTCCTGCATAAATTCTAAATGAATTTTTAAAATTATGGGGTTTTAAGATAGATTCTTGCAGGAAAAAGTCTTACTGTCCTTCCCACACACTCAGTTTGGGAGACTGATTCCTGCATCCAAAGGGTGATGTTTGTTTAAACACAGAGCAAAAGTTGTGCAGTGAATTTTGATTATAAAAAGACAATTTATAGAGAGGCAAAATTAGCAAGCAATTTCCTAAGCAACCCCTGACAATACACTCAGTGCTACGTGAAGTGAGACAGACAAGGGGTCTTTCTCTAAACAGCTCCAGGGTTACACCCTTATTCTAGGGAGACCTCTTTATTATACTGTAGCGCTACGAACACTTTCCATGTGTAACAAATATATAGGTATCCCACTATGTCAGCTTCAGAATTAAATCATAATAGCTATGGTTATTACACAAGAAAAAAAGAAAAGAAGTTACCATTTTCTTTTCGTAATCTTGTTATAAATTTCTTGGGAGGTATTACTCCAACTTTCTTCTTCTGGGTTGCAATACTGTGGAACAGATCAGCTAAGCATGTAAGGAGATTCTCTTTTTTTCTTGGTTGACTCTTGTATGCTAAGACTTTGTCTCGAAATGGTCGACAAAAATAAAGTGCCTGAAGAACTGAATTACAGTAGCAGGTATTCCCAAACTATAAAATGAGAAAGAGATCTATTAGCTTGCATTATATTACTGTAGAGAAGTAAAATTCAACTCAAAGCATAGGAGAATGCGTAAGCAGGGACAAATCTTCTGCAAGTTGTTTCTTCTTGACTTTAAAATAGTAAAGCATATTTCTGTTCTGCAAAGGATTAACAAGTACACTGTACATAAGTTCAAGAATAACCTAGGTCAATTTGAACAATGCTATCTAATTTTGTCTCACTTGTAAATTTAACTTACTAGTAATACTTTGCATTTACTTGGGTCAAAATGTTCAACAAATACCATCAATTTCACAGTGCCCAAAATATACCCAGGTAAAAATAACTATACATCTACTTAAGTCAGACACAACAGTAAAGAACAGGCACAGCATGACCTTGTACTGTGAAGAAATTCAGCTTTTACTGTGAATAAATTGAAAGCTTCTAAGACACTTCAGAAATCGGCTTCTCCATATCTTATTAGTTGTGATCAAAGTCAGAAATAATGCTTTAACTTGTTCCTCAGGTTTCAGTGACACTCATTTTAGGGTGACAGGGCACGTAATGATAGAACAAGGGGGAATGGCTTTAAGCTGAAAGAGGGTAGATTTAATTAGATATTAGGAAGAAGTTCTTTATTGTGAGGGTGGTGAGACACTGGCACAGGTTGCCCAGAGAAGCTGTGGCTGCCTCATCCATGGCAGTGTTCAAGGCCAGGCTGGCTGGGGCTTTGAGCAACCTGGTCTAGGAGAAGGTGTCCCTGTCCATGGCAGGGGGTTTGGAACCAGATAATCTTTACAGTCCCTTCCAACCCAAACCAGTCTATGATTCTATGATACGATTCTACAACAGGATTGGAATTCAGGAGTTTTCTTGAAACAGTGCAACATGGCCTCTTCAGGATTCAAAGCTGTGGCACTATCAGTAGTTTCAAAGCAAGACTGAAAGTTAAAAAATGCACAAATTGGACATGCACATTTTGAAGGAGGCAAGCTACTGAATTGCCAGGGGGCAAGCAGAGCAAGAAAAACATCCATAACCTGCTTTGTACCAGGATGCTCCAGATGTCCCTCTTCCCCAGACTCCTTCCACCTCATTGACACTGCCTCCAGCTCACCCCAACACTGTGAACCTCCCCACCACCTCTGCAAAGGCATCGTGCCTTGCCGGTGGATACAGCCACTCTCATTTTATGCTGCCCTCCTCCAGTGAAACCTATTATCTAACACTGAAAGTGTGAGAAAAATCTTTAAGGTCCTCAGCAAGTAATCCAACCTTTCAGCTGCAGTCACTCAACCTGCAAATTGAAGCACATACCTACCACACACATTCTGTAAAATGTGAAAACAGTGTTCATATTCACGTTTTCTGTGAAGATAGCAGCATATATGGGTAACAAATTCTAAGACTATATTGTGATGGGGAGACTGTCATATAGCAAAAAGAGTGCACTGAGAGATATTTTAAGAACAGCTTCTTTCAACAAAAAGAACTGAAAGATTTTACATCCTAGCAATAACAGGTAAGTAAGTGGTTTTTGTTCTCTCCTGAATAAGACAATGACAAACAAGAGCACTACGCAATTTCATCACAAAACTGGGAAGTACATTGTTTTCTATTATTTTAAATTACTGAAATATTAAGAACTACTTTCTAAATACCCAAGACATGTCCAAAGAATAAGTAAGAAGTGTATTCAAATATATATATATATATATATATATATTTAGAAGTCTTAAGAGCTCCATATCAAAAAGTGAGGAAATTAACACCCATTATTTTTATTTATTTAAGCTAGGGAAAATGCTTCTATTAGCTTCTTTGTCCAAATCTGCTCTCAAGGAGGCAAACGAACTTAAGAGGAAAACCAGTTATTTTTCCTTAAAGGAAGCAGATGAAATTACACAGTACCTTATGTCAAAACATTTAGTATTGTAAGCTCACTGTTTATAAGGTTATAATTAGAAATAGCCACAGAGAACTACATTAAAATGTTAAGAAAGTTCTTAAAATTAAATCAAATGGGAAAAGTGTTAAAATTTCTACAGCAAGTGTCAAAAGATGAAAAGGCAGCAAATTAGAAATTCCATAATATTCCCATTTTAAAAAGGAATAGTCTGATGATAAATTAATTAGAATGGTGCACAGGCAGTGAAAGACAACGAAAATATGAGAACTCAAAACAATGAACAAAATTCAGATTAATTTAAGATGAATGTATGCTAATCTATGTGCCTGTAGGTAGGAAATTAAAGCAAGCAGAGAAAGGTTTTCTTCGACCTAATCCAGAAAGACAGTAGGCAATAGAAGATTGTTATAAAACAAACTCCTGAAAAAAAGATTAATTAGTTCACATTTGGTTTATATCTAAAGCATCGGGCTTCATTGCTTCAAAACTTCAAATACTTGAAAGAAAAGCTTCCAATTGTTAAAAATTATAATGGTACCTGTACTAAACAAGGGGGGAAAGGCAGGGAGGTTTCTAGATTAAGCAAACAGGGAATTTGTTACATGGATAAATACTGGTCTTACCACCATTATTACTTTACTTCCCGTCACTGACTTCAATAGAAAAGTAGATCCCGCGTTTAGGGAACACCCAAGATTTTGCAGTCTCCCCATCCTCCCACTACTCACTGAACTTTGCTTTCCAATTCTGCTTATTCAACACTCAACACTTCAACCCTCTTAACAAGGCCAACAGACCTCTTCCATCTCCCCTCATGGCCTCAGAAGCACAACACTTGTAAGAAGATTGGCAAGTGCTGTATAACAAAATGCTTGTCAAGTCTGCCTCAGAGTAACAGTGGCAAACTGTAAGAAAGGCCATCATTGTAATGTGTGGGATACTGAAACTCCTCAACCTCATTCAGGGAAACGTAATTGAGACTATACACAGCAGAGTCATTTAATCCATGTTTTCAACTGGTTTATTGTTTGCCTCTCTGTTTCTGTGAGACCTTCTTAAAATGTGCATATCTAAGAAACGTACAAAATACACATTCGCTCTTTTTTTCAGTCCATATTACTCTTCTATTCCAAATTCTGAGAAATCAGACTTTCCTTTCACAAAAATACTGCATTCTGGACATTTCATACACACACCCTTTTTTTTTCTAAAAAAAAAAAAAAAGAAAACAAAGAAAACCCCAAAAAAAACCAAACCTGTGTGGAAATATAAAAAGAGACAATCAGAAAAGCTGCAGCAAAAACACCACACACTCACTAAGGCTTGTAGCCTTATAGTTTAATCTTCTGATGCAACATACAACCACAAAGAACCCTGGTTGTTGAACACCGCAGAGCTATAAAAATGAACACAAGATCTACAAGAACTCAGATCTGCTGAGAACACTGAGCAGCACTTGGGCTCCTCCCAGCTCTGATGTGTTGACAGATCTGATGACTTTTATCGCTGCAATGGGCCATGCCAGTAAATCAGCTTTCTCCAAAACATGCAATCCATTGCAAGAGACTGGATAACCAAACTTCCTGCTCTATAATGGAATCATAGAATAGTTAGGGCTGGAAAGGACCTTAAGATCATCAAGTTCCAACCCCTCTGCTATGGGCTGGGATGCCTCACACTAAACCATGTCACCCAAGACTCCATCCAGCCTAGCCTTGAACACTGTCAGGGATGGAGCATTTATCACTTCTTTGGGTAACCTATTCCAGTGCCTCACCACCCTCAGAGTAAGTCTGGTAAACTGTTTAGGAGCCACCAGATTAGTTCTTAAGAGATTAAAAATGTCCATTATCTCATACCCTTTGGATAAAATAATCCACTTAATTTGTGAAACACATAGATTTTAATAGTTTGCATTACTGCACCACAGGGGGAAAGAATGATATGCAGACTTGGTGTTCCTGGTTGTCCATGTGACGGAACATCATACTACTAACATTTTCCTCTCATCACATTTAAAACATTTCCTACTGATTTAGTGAATGATATTGTTCTTCGAAGTCTAAACTAAATTTTCCATTTTGAGCTTTCATTGACAGAACAAAAATCCCATCTGGTCTTACATCTGCTTCCCGTAATTGCCCTTTCTTAATTCTTCTCCTACCTCTCTAATTGTTCTTTCAGCACATCCTCTGAATAATCCTTAGATGACAACACAAAGCTGGAGAGGAGATAAGACAGTGCTTCTACCTTCTCTTCTTTACACAACCTCTGAATAAACACCACATTTACCAGCGACAGATCTCTATTTCAGAACTGCCATCTTTATCTAAAATCCTGACCTGCATTCTGGACGTCTCAAATGGCTAGCTATTACAGAGGTAGAATAGAGCTACACATTACCTCAGTTTTCCACATTATCTCAGTTTTTTCCATTACTCTGGACAAAGCACAAACAAAATCAATAAACAAATTAGAAAAAATCAGCAATAAATGTTAATGAACCTCTAAGAGGTTCACTTCTTGTAACTGCTAAAAAACAATTAGAGAAATCAATGAAGGCAAAACCAGTGATTTCTACCACTTCTCAAACTAATAGTACTTTAAATTTGTTACCTAATGATCTATTATTTCTTTTAATTATTACTAGCTGTCATTCTTTCTGAATGGCTATTCACCATAGTTTGCTAATGAAAAGGTCACTACCTTTCTTTTTCCTGATAGATTTAAATTCTGAAAGCTTTTTATATATTTATATATATTATTATTTTTATACATTTTTATTTATATTATATATTTATATATACTTCTTTCTGTAAACATACTGTGTTAGTAAACACAATAAGTAGAACAGATCTGAAAACCATCCAAGCAACAATATGACTGAATTTCCTTTGCTAACCACTATAGCAAAAAACACAGCACCAGGGTGCCACAGATGTAATGGAATCCCATTTTACTATCTGTTACAATTCAAAGACTTCTGGTCTATAAAACTTTATTGTTTGGAGCTAAAATAAGCATATTCCTGTATTACAGAGAAAGTTAACAGCACTCCAAGGTATCTTAGCTGCCTGCCTCTTATATGTATGGCCGAGAGCAATGACTTAAAGACAGATGACCTCTGAAATTTCCTACTCCCTCTGGACTACAGAAAGGCAAGATTTCTTTATATTCATTATATATTAGGAAGATTGTCCTTTATTGAAACTTTTCTTAAGGGTACAAAGTATGTAAAACTTCAAGATTAGGTGTACAATGCAATTTTACTGTTAAGTCTTAAATCCTTTCTAGATTTGGACAAGAAATTAAGAAAACATATGATCTGTCAACGGAATAACAGAATTGAGAAGATACTGATAATATCGTAACAGATAATAGCAGATAAGGACAGTTTTGATGGAAAGCCTAAGCTCTGCTACAGAGCAAGTATTAACAGTTAAGCTACTGTATTTCCTCTTTTCAGAGAAACGATGTGTCAGTTTGAAGGTATTTCAACTTTCATGAGAAAGTTAAAATTAGCAGTAATTTAAGTAATGGCATTTGAGGTTCATGTAAGTCAGCTTATCAGTTAGAATGTAGACTTCAAAGTGACTACTCAGATTGCACTCTTGAACCATGTCAGTGCTAAGGACCTAGAGGTAGAAACCTATGTTACAGTAGCAGGACGGCATTAGAAGTAATGAGTTTCATTAAGAAAAGCAAGATGATAGCTCTTGTTAAATCAAGTTAGATGAAATACACACTTTCTGAAGCCCCCCCAAAGAAAATCATTTAATATTTTGTGTCAGAATAACGCAATTTCTAACAAGATACACTTTTCATTGGTAATAACAGAAATTAAAATTTAAATCATTCCTTAAAACTAATGATTGAATCAAACAATTCAGTATGTTTCTTCTACCACTGCTTTCCTCTTTGGGCTCAGTATTTTTTGTAAATTTTAACACAAATAGCAGACGTGAACATATCATCAACAGCCTTTCACAGATTTTTTTCTGTTATTTATTCACTTAGACTGGCATACTATGAACAAGCTTTTGTTAAGACTTAGACATTTTAATAGCAAGAAAATTATTTTTAAGAGTAATCTACATTTTACATTAGTAAAATGAGATTAAGCATTAAATACACAGTCCAACAAATACAGTAAATATTGAAACATTTCAATAAATATGTATATTCAACTACTGTATCTTTCAGTGCTTTAATTCATCATTCAGTCACAATCTTGTAATCGAACAAATCCTCTGGCGGCATTTTAAAGCAATGAAGTTATGGTCTGAAACTTACATTAACCAAACCAAAATAGTGCTCATTGACTGGAAATTGTTCCGGACCAATCTCTTTCTCCAAAGCTGAGGCATTGGCGCCCTAGAAAAACCAAAAGCCACAAAATATCAGTGTTGCAACTATGTACACAGTGAATTTAAGTAGTTGAGAAAGGGAAGAAGTTTTTTTGGCAAAGATAAATGACCAAAACAAACCAATCCCCCAAAAAACAGCCCCCTAAAAAACCTGGTTACTACTATGGGCCTTGCTAACACCAAACCAGTATCTTCAGATCTCAGACCATAAGACTTTGGTTTACTGAGTTTACTTGCACTGAAAGTCTCTCTAGTCAGGAGGGAGAAAAACAGAAATAAATGAGACTAAATACTAAAAATGGATGAAACACCTTTCTGTCTCTACCCTGGAGGTGGGAGAGAAAGTGGAGCTTGTGACCCAGCTCAACAATCACACATGGCAAATTAACTGAACTTGTTTAGTTAATGCAAAGACAAGTTCATAGGCACAATAACATTAGGCATGAATGCAGAAAATTCAGTCCTCTAAGTTCTCTGTTGATTTGCACTGTCAGGACATTTAGATTGTCTACAAAACCACTTCCCACAGGTCTTAAAGTAGACAGCAAGTCTTCTGTGCCGTAACATAATGCTTCGTTACTTATAATAAAGAGCCTAACATTCTTCCACCACAAGAAAACTATTTCAACATAATCCAAATTACCTCAGAGATACGTGTTTCCAAATATGTTCTGTTCAAAAACATCCCGAGTAAGTTTTATCATTTTCATGTATTTTCATGCAATTATACTGGTTTGATGTTATGTATTTATTATTTTCAGACAGGAGTTTCTTTAGTAAGAACTGCATTAATATAGTATTGCAAAGCAGGTGATACAAGGCCAAATGGCAAGCTCTTCTTCACATGTAATTTTCATAATGCATAGCACATTTCAGAAAAAGTTAAAAAATGCAGCTTGGTCATAGGAAGCAGAGAGACTGGTCTGTTACACCTACACCGAAAACATAAACTGTTCAAAGGGCTTTGTTAAATACCTTGAACTTTGTAAAATTAAAAGACAACGTAGTACAGCTGCTGTTGGTGTGCATTACGAATGCTGCAGCCTTTGCACAACAAATCTGCTGGGTCTGGTCCTCAAAAAGAACTCGGAGAAAGTAACTTTGGTTACTCTATAGTTCCAACCAATAACTGTTGACTGAACTGGTGCAATAAACATTGGGTTTCAAAGGAATAAGTGGGTTTTGTTGTTTGGTTATTTTGGGGTTGGTTTTTTTGTTTTTTTTTATTTATTTAAAGACAGAAAAACCTCTACCCTGGAAAACTGAGAGAACTAAAACCCCCTAGCTTTTTATGAGCTCTTACACTGACTGGTTTTAGATAAAAGCAAATATATCCAACTCTAAATCACTTTCGTTGCATATAACATCACTGATATGTGTATATATATATATATATATATATATACATACACACTATCAAACGAATGCATAAGCATGACTATTCCAGTATTCCAGTCTAAAGTCAGGCCTAAGTGAAGCTAAAATGGCACTGTGAAATACGAATTCCCTCTTCTAAACAAGATAACAAGGTTTTATTGAAGGACAAAGTCAATAAAGCAAAAGCAACAGCGCTGGGCACATGACCGTAGCCAGAGGCGCACAGTATACAGCAAAGAATCTTAAAACCAGATACGACTCCTTCCTGACAAGTTCCTTCTTTACACCAAAGACATAGTAAATAGCCCTGCGCATTACAACAGTAAAACTATAAATCAAAATCACAACTGCCTTAAAAATTACATGCAGGATTTCACAGGTTAATTACAGATAGGGGGAAGGGTGTAGACTTAAAATTAGGAATGTATAAAAATGTATAAAATAAAATTGAAACTCTGTTTTGTGGTATCTGCCATGATGTGATTTTGGTATTACAGAATCTAAGAGTGGTTACACAGTCTAGCTTAGTAGTTCTGAAACACATGGCCAAAGGCCCATTTGGAGGTAGCAACTTTAGCTAGAATAGAGCAAAAAAAGAGTGTAATTCCACACTTGAGAGAGTACAGTTCTGCTCCATTCACATCACGGCCCCAGCTGCTGACACGTCATGTCATGGCATGGTCAGCTGTATCCCCTGCAATTATCCAGTACAATAAAGCCTCTCCTTTACCAGGGACTTAGCTGCAGGGTTTACTACCTTAGAAGCTGTTCTCAGATGGTGATGTTGGTGCTAAGGGGTAGAAACCCTCATTTAAGATTAAAGCTCTCCAGGATTTCTGAATATTTAGTTTTGCATCCTTACTGAAATACACCCATGAGCTTTGGCTGGGTGGGTATTATTTGCAAATAAACTAGGCAAAAAAGGAACTGCGGAGGCCTTTTTCTCCTATTGTTAAAATCTCTACTTCTTTAAAAATAAATACATTCAAAAGTAGGCTTTTAGGAAATTCTCTCTCTTTTCGAAGCTAGGGTGGAGCAGCTACTTTATTCTATCTTTGGAAGGAAGAATATTATGGTATAAACTTTGATGTTTCTGTTTTGTACAAACCTGAACTCTGTGTTTAGTTTTGTAGCACCCTGACTTGGCAACAAGATAGACATGCTGAGATGCTCCCATATTGTTATGGTTTTCTGATTCTTCAAGGCTGTTTCATTCAAGGCTTAGACTTTCACATGATTTCAAAGCAGGGCATTGCCTATGTTTGAATGCAGCTGTTTATGAATGTTTTATTACTACAAACCAGTGTGGATGTTTTACACCAATATAAAAACCTTCAAGCTACTCAGACTTCCCTCTACAGCTCTCTTTTGGTCTGTCATAAAAGATGTTATTCCTCCCTCCAAAGAATCATTCATACAGCGCACAGCATGTTGGTTGCAGAGGGCGAAAACACAGTATGCAGCAGGGGCTTGAAAGCGTATGCTAAAATGCATGTTCACATCTGACCCATAAAAAACATTTGACGATTCTAGCTATCCCTCACTGCAAAACATTTCACATTCATTATTACCATACACGCTACCAGTCCCAGCTGACTCTTCTATTCTGTGAATACAAATGCAGAGGGGAAGCACTGTCACACCACCAACTAGTGTGGTATCCTACCATCTTCTGATCAAGAGGACAGCAGGGGTTTAAAGCAGGAGTGGAGTCTACCTCTTTCCATCAGCCTGGATAGAATTACTTGGCTTGGGATCTAGCCTTGGGAAATTTCAGCTTGTGATGCATGCTGCAGAATACAGAATTTCTTCCTCTGCCACTTAACTGGGATGTATGAATATCCCAAAACAAACCACTCTTTTTTGGGGGGTCTCGCTGAACAACCCATACAATAGGTGCTCAGCTCCCACACAGCAACTTGGCTTTGACATTGCGCAGAGCACAGAAAGAGCATCATCAGCTTTGGTTAGTACATCCACCTCCAGTTTCTCCTACCCTTTTGAGCAGAAGCACGCAAGGCATTACCAGAAGTAGGAAGGAACAGAGGCACAAAGTCCAAAAGAGCTAATATTGCTTACTAGGTTTTGCATCAGATTAGTATAAAACTATACATCACCAAACACTGCCCTGCATTACACACCTTCTAGCACAGACATAATTATAAAGGCATACAGAACACCTATTTGTCATACTGAATGCAATATAGCTTTACAAAGTGGAAAGTTTATCAGCTAAGGCATATATACAAAAACACAATATGAAATGAAGATTTGCGTAACTTTCCTTTGTTACCAAAAATGATCCTGGAAACAATGTTAAAGTACCAATGATTATAAACGAGTGCTCTCACACATAATGAAAGTTAGGTGTAAAGCTGACCTTTACTTCACTGTACCCTTTATCCTGTGCTTAACTTCAAACTGATACGAGATAAACAATAAGTAATCTTAGTTTAACTACATTCAAATCAGTTGAACATGTACTGTTGATCTCCACCACCAAGTTAGAGAAAAAGGCGCTACTAACGAAGAGGTAAGAGTCCGTGTTTACTGTTGAAGGCCCTTAATTAAGTTTCTCAACTTTTATTTTCAAAAGAGCTTGGGTTTTCTATAAATAACTACATGTAGCATTAACCAAATGAGTGTTTTATTTCAGTTTAATGGAATCAAAGCTCAGAAAATACAGTGGGAGAGGACAGTGTAGTATCTTTTAATTAAGTACAGTTGAATTTTCCTGATTTTCAAGTTTTACAGATACTGATTCTCACAAAGTTCTAAAATAAACTAAACCCCCGATATTGTACATTTAAAGGGAAAAAGGGAAAAATGAAAAGTGCAGACATATGATGGGCATTTTTATTTGTTTAGTTTTTCACTTGCTAAAGCAGTAATATCCTTAAATGCCATTTCCACTTTACTAGTGCCTTTTCTCACTACCATACAAGTCACACTGTTGTGGTGCTACATGTCAAACTAGTATCCCTGAGACACACTAACAGCTAACATATGGATAAGCTAACAGAAGCCAAACTGTAAAGCAAATCAGTTGGTGCTTATGATCTGACATACAGGCTTTGGGTTTCAGAAGGGTTTTGCCAGATTAGTTCTAGGCTGGCTGGTGACTGAACACCCAGCTGCAGCTGAACTACATTGCCTGATTTGGTTTTCTCCACAAGCAATCTGATTTGTGCATGTGAAGACCACTCCAAGATGCAGGCTGTTTGGGAGAATTGCTTCAGAATTGCACAGACCTTCATCTGAACTAAAACACTAACAAAAAAGCATCTGGCACTTTTCTAAAAAGAACCAAAGAAAAAAAAGCCAACCTGTATAAAAAAATACTGTCTAAAAACATGCCAGCCAGCAGGCAAACAATTGCAGTTTATCATCCCACCTAGCTGGCAGCAATTCTCTTACAAAGACTATATTCATAATGAGCCAAATGTGCTTTGAAGATTACACTGGTGTTAGTCTTCTTAGGCTGGGCTAGAGGGGTTGATCCATCCCTCTCTAGAATAAGTATCGGTTGGTAACTTGGTGGCTCATCTTTGCAGTAGTTTGCTCTAACAGCTTTATCCTCCAGCTTTATTGAGTTGTAAATTTCCCAAGTAAAACAAAACATTTCACTTT